CCCCAAGTGGTTGGCAGTGGTAGCTGGACATCATCTAGTTCTTCTGGTCTTATAGTCATATAGGATAAGGATCACATGGTCTTCCAGTCCCTTGAACTAATTGTTTCCGTGCAGTTTTGGTTTTCTTCGTTCTTTGCTCTGGATGAGGAGAGACCCATCATTACATCTAGATGGCTGCTTGCAAGTTTTTAAGATCTCAGTCACTACTCATCAAAGTAAGATGTAGAACAATATTTTTGTGTAGTATATTATGCCAATTAAGCTTGATGTCCCCTGCAACCATGGTCCTGATCCCACAGGTCTAACTTCTCACTCCTCCAGGTAGCTGGCTGTGGCCAAGAAGTGACTACAACTTTGTCCCTTGATTCAAGGGATTTTTTAAATCCATTTTTTATTTCTTACATTACCCAGTAGTTTTTAAGCAGAGTATTATTCAGTTTCCATATGTTTTTTCCCTTGATCTTCCTATTGTTGATTTCTAATCTTATAGTGTTGTGATCAGAGAAGATGCTATGTAGTATTTTGATGTTTTTAAATTTATTGAGGTTTGCTTTGTAGTTGAACATATGGTCTATTCTAAAGAATGTTCCATGGGCATTGGAAAAGAATGTACATTGTGCTGTTGTTGGGTGAAATGCTCTGTACATGTCTGTAAGGTCAAGTTGGTTGATTGTGTTTTTTAGTTTCTCTGTGTCATTGTTGAGTTTCTTTATAGTTGTTTTATCCTTCATTTAAAGTGGTATATTAAAATCTCCTACTATTATTGCGTAGTTGTCTATTTCTCTTTTCAATTCTGTTAAAGTTTGATTTATGTATTTTGGGGCTCTTTCATTGGTTGTGTAAATATTTATTAAGGTTATGTCCTCTTATATGAACGATCCTTTAATCATTATATAATGTCCTTCCTTATCTCTTGTGGTGGTTTTTGTCTTAAAGTCCATTTTATCAGAAATTAGTACTGCCGCTTATGGTCTTTTTTGATTGCCATTTGTTTGATCTATTTTTTCCAACCTTTCATTTTTAATCTCTTTTTTGTCTTTGTGTCTCAGGTGTGTCTCTTGTAGCTAGCATATTGATGAGTCATGTTTTCTTATCCATCCTGTGACTCTGACTCTTGACTGGTGTATTTAATCTGTTTATATTCAGTATAATTATTGATGAGTATGAATTTATTGCCATCATTTTGTTACGTGTTTCTGTGTGGTTACAGTGTAGTAAATTACTTAGTGTGGCTTTTCTACCCATAAGTCTTTGTAAACACCAAGGTGGGATTTGCTATGAGCAACTGAGGAGCTCCTGATTGCTAAAGTTGTCCACCTGGAGTATTTCTGTTGGGAGTGGCACAAAACAATGTTTTGGGAGGTTCCCACTCTCTCTCAGGTGCTTAGAGTTCTGATGCTATGATTGGCTAGTTCGACTTCTCTGCTGGGCTCAAAAGGAGGCCTCCTAGAGGCAGAACTCTGACTGCTGGTTGAGGAAGACGTGCTGCTAAAAGAGACACGTGCTCCTGAAAGAGACACATGCTCCTGAAAGAGACACATGCTGCTGTGAAAGAGACACAAGAGACACACATTGCAGAGTAAGACACCGAGGGACATGCACTGCTGGGGGAGACACTATGAGAGACTTGGCTGAGAGACAGTGGGCTGGGAGAGAGACTGAGTGTTTTTTCTGAACTTGAATTGTAGCCTGGTGCTTCCCTAATAAACCCCATAATCTGTGGGTTCTGTGTGGCCACAGCAGCAAATTATCGAACCCAGGAGAGAGGTGGTAGGTGCTTTGGGAGGAACAGTTGGAGAAAGGGCTGGAGGGAGGCAGCATGTCTGCCTCACAGGAATAGGCCTTGGGCTGTTGATGGTGATTCTGTCTTCCTCTTGTGGGATTAGAGGAGGTCAGAACATATGGCCTCCTTGTCCTTTTTGCAGTGGTGTTACTGATTGCTTTGTTCCATATAATTTTCTGTACTGAGCTCATTTTTTGAAAAAATTAATTTATCTTTTCAGTAGTTGCTGTTGTTTTATTATTTGTTAAATATTTTTTACTTTTCTTTTTTTTTTTTTTATCTTGATGAGAAGATTTATTAATTTTTTTGAGGTTACCCAGTGATTTATTATTTTCTTCCCAAGTTTAAATTAGTCCATTCTATCTCAAAATCTTCTTGACTTCCCCTCCATTTGGAAGTTCTGTAAGTACAATATTTATTCCCTCTTTTCAGTTAGTACTTGTCCTCATTTACAAATTGATGTCTCTAGTTCCCTATTTTCAGTCTTGTAAGTTTATTTTACTTTAGATACTTCTATATGTGGGTTGGTTGCTGAGTGATGTGGTCATGTGTGTATAATCACAGGACTATTGTTGGTTCTTTGTCCAAGGGACTACCTTTAGCATCTTTTGTAAGGTTGCGCTGGTTTTTATAAATTCCTTTACTTTCTGTTTAACTGGAAAGATCCTAATTTCACCAACATATTTGAGAGACAGTTTTGCTGGGCATATATTTCTTGGTTGGCATTTTCTTTTCTTTCAGGGTTTTATATATATCATCCCATTTCCTTCTCACCTGCTTGGTTTCTGCTGAGAAACAAGAGCACAGTGTTATTGATTGCCCTTTGTAGGTAACTTTTTGTTCTTCCTGAGCTCCTTTCAGGATTCTTTCTTTATTTTTGGGAAATATGGTATGTCTTAGTGATTTTATTTTGGGGTCTATCTTGTTTGGGGTTTGTTGAACTTCTTGAATGCATATCTTCTCGTCTTTCATCGTATTAGAGAAGTTCTCTTCGAACAAATCTTGACTATTTTCTCTGTGGTTTTGTCTCTTCCTATTCTGGCATTCTGATCACATGTAAATTATTCCTCTTGATGGTGTTTATCTGCAAATATCTGTGTAAATCTTAAACTTTCTTCTTCTTTTTTTTTTTTCTGATTGTTCCCCTAACAAAGTAGTAGTGAGGGATTTGTCTTCAATCTCGCTAATTCTGTCTTCCATTTATGTGCTATTTTTGTATGGTTTCTATTTATTTATTTAGTCAGTTTGTTCTTGCATTGTTTTCCTGAATTATTTTAAAGTTTTGTCTGTGTTTTCTTTAATTTTATCAGTGCTGTCTTTGTTCTGTTTCTTAATCCATTGAAGGTACCTAACTATAAATCTTTGAATTCCTTATCAGGTAGTTCCAATGTCACTTCTTCCTCAGAGAGGTTTTCTAGGTTTGTATTCTGGTCCCTTGTTTATCCTACTTTATCTTGCTTCTTTGTGTGAACTGGGATTGTCAGTTGTCTCTGAGACATTGTGATGTCATTTTATTTGTATTTAATTGATGATTGTACGTTGGTGTGATTTTCCCAGGTTTCTTTCTTTTTTTTGCTTTGTTTTGTTTTTCTGTATCTGAGTGAGCAGGACTGTTAATGCTACTCTATTCAGTAGTTTGGCAGCACTTAGGTACTAACCACCTGTCTCCTGGTGGGTGTGATAAAGGATAAGAATGTGTGTACAGATCTCTGTTTCTGTAGAGATGTTGAGCATGGGTTGTGCTGTACTGGCTGCCATCTATTATTGATCAGTTGGTGCAGAAGCAGGTGGTGGCTCTCACCCAGTTAGTGAGGCTACAGGGGATTTGAATATGGTTGTGTCGTGTGAGCACAGTTGGTTTCTTGTCAGCAGCTACCAGTGTGGGTGCTCATGTAGTCCTCAGCATGTAGAGCCAATTACCAGGTTGCTGCTCCAATCAGAATGCTGCTTGCAAATATTTAATATGGCCAGTCGACTGTCCACAGTTTCATTTGTCTCTTCATTCACTGTTTTCATTCAGTTTCTTCTATGAGTTGGTATTTAATCCACTTGTTTATCTTTATCTTCAAAGCTGAGAGTTCCAGGATTACCCTCTGTATATCTGTTTCATTGATTTCATGTTTCTTTTTTGTAGAGGGTCTGGATTGCTTGTCTGCCTATTCTGTCATCTTGGTAGAAGTCCTTTTCAAGCCCTATCTATTTTAAGGCTGCCATTTCCTGAATGAAGTTCATAGGTGTTGATGAGAGGCTCCGCTCAAAAGGGAAGTGAAAGTCCTAACAGTGGCCAGCAAGGGGTATCCCTTCCTGAACTGCTCTTATCTCTCCCTTGCCCCTCACTTTGTCTGCCTTTCCACCTGCCTGCTCATCTGCCCCAGTCCACTGGCCTCTTTGCCCTTCCATGCCTATTAACCCCTCATGTCTTTGAAACTTTGCATAGGCTGTTTCCTTTGCTTGGAAAGGTTTTGCCTGGTTATCTACACAGTTTACTTCCTTGCCTCCATCAAGGCTCTGTTCACCTGTGACTGTAACAAGGCCTATGTACCCTGACTGCCCTATTTAGGATTGCAACTGTACTCCCCAACCCCAGATCTCTTAGTCCCCTTACTCTCTCCTTAGTCTTTTCTCCACTACACTCATCACCTCTCACACACTATATAGAATAATTAACTTAGTAGTTGTGTTTATTGTTTATTGTTTGTTTCCTGCAACTTGGATGTAAGCTTTATGAAGGCAAGATTTTTTTATGTTTTTCCACTGATGTATTCTAAATGCATCTAAATGATGTATTCTAAATTTTTAAATAGTACCTGGCATGTTATATGCATGCAATAGATATTTATTGAATAAATGAATAAATGAGAAGAAACTGTTGTTTTATAGCTTCAATAAATCATAAGTAACTTGTAAGAAGGGACTGTGTCACATAATTTTATATCCACAGAGCTGAACAAGAGTATAGAGAAGATACTTAGAAATACTAACATTTTAGTTTTATATAGTCACTTCTCAAGTATTCAGGAAGCTTTTGCATAAGTCATTCTATTTTTCAGATCCACTATCAATACTGTTTCCTTGTTCTCCTCCTTTCTATCATGTCTTGGTCTGGGCCTTATGTTGTCCATTTCTCTCTTTTAGGGATTAACAGTTCACTGCCATGGGCAGCATTTGAAGCAGCTGTCATCAGAAGCTGCTTCTGTATTGAGGATGCGGCGCTTACCTGCACATTCCTGTTCAGGCTGACTGCAGGGAAGAACAGGCCCTCCACATTCTCAAATGCTATGGGGCCTTGCTGTTCATCGTTGATAAAAAATGTCAGGGTTTTTCTATTTAAGTCGAGGAGGACCCCAATTGTGGCCCCCTTGGTGATTCCTCCCTCAGTTCTGTGAGAAGAGAAAACAATTGGGTTTCACTTGCTTGTCATCATTCTAGAAACTTACTTTCTGTATGGTTGAACCAGTGCTTTTCAACCTTTTAAAAATTATTGCCTCCCCAGGAACACTATGCTAGGAGCTCTGGTAGCATAGTGCTTAAGGCACTTGACTGCTCACCAGAAGGCTGGCGGTTCAAACCCACCAGCCACTCCTCGGAAGGAAGGTTGGGCAATCCTACTTCCGTAGCGATACTGCCTCGGAAACCCAAGGAGGGGTCGCTATGAGTTGGGGCCGACTCAACGGCAAACAACAACAACAACCCAGGAACCTTTGTAAGCAATTATTTTCCTAATCATTCCCCACCTACTGCATTCAATTTTAATATTACAGATATACCACACATCTGCTTATGCATGTAAATAGAGCTGTGCTTTACATATAAAAATACTAATTTTTTCTGCCCCCCACCAAAACCAGTTCTACCCCCTTGTTGAGAATGTTGGGTTAAACCCTGGCTGCTTTGCTGTTGCTGAGAGTGAACTCATTCATATAGAGTCTCTACCACTGGACCACAGCAGTAGAAAACAAAACACAAAAAGACTAAAAAATAGCCTTTTGAGTATCAGAGGCCTGACCATAGTTATGTTGCGCACTTTGTATAAATGGTGTGAGGTAAATATCATTAAATTTAAGATGACTTAATTTGAAAGTCAAATTAAAGAAGCACTTAAGCTGAACCTAAGACAAATGCATGAAAAGTTGCATTTGGGGCCTTATGATCCCCATTACATAGAAAAACTCATTCTGGAAAGATGGTAATTTTTTGACATGTTGATTTGAATCAAGAAGTTAAAGGTCTCTCTGAATGACAATATCCAAAAAAAGGAGTCTTCCCAGCAAAGGAATGATTATACTCTAGAAGATGTAGGGATTGTAGGGTATCTGCGTGCACATACCATTTTACAAAGAATTGTGTCTTATGCTTCCACTGATGGCTTCACAAAGTGCCATGTAACATGAAAAATCATATTGGTCTTTTCTCCTTTTTGAGATCTAGCTATCAAAGTTTATGCTCCTCTCAGCAGAGCAAACACATTTAAAAGTGCTGTTAGTCTCCTCTGGCATGCATAATACAGATTGTATATAGTGATTAAAAGACAAGTTTACATATTGCACCTTGTTAATTCACAGGTTCAACAATGACAGCACAAGTAACATGCATGCAGTTTGCATACAGCAGACATGTTTAAAAATGTATATCGCTACATAGTATGCCAATTATGTCATTACCCATTCCTTCATTCCATACTAAAGTAGCTAGAAGGGAAAAGTAAACATGGGACATGGGTGATGGCATCCTAAATCTAGTGAGAGAGGGTTGTGCAAGAAGTACATCCCTGAAGATAACTGCTTATCTACATCTAGTAGAATTTGATATCAAGCTCAAGTGGTATGTGTATTCAGTCCAAGTGACAGTGAATAATGCAACCCTGAATGGAGATGTATAGAAAATATCCAAGGGAAAGGAAGGGGAGGCCATAGGATTCCTCATGGCTAGAGAAGGGTCAATGATGATCGGACAGCGGAGATCAGACGTGAGAGCGGAGTCAGTTATTCCACCACTGCCTTGTGCACTTTCCCTTCGATCTGACTGAATACAACTGCTTTTCTTTTTTTTTCCCCCAGAGACACCATCTTAGGGAAATATTTTAGAATTAAGTGGGAGATTTGTCTGTCTAGAAAATTTGTGAAAAATACTTTCGAAGAGGAACATACACCAAATGGAAAAGGAAGTTGAGGAAAAAATACAGTAATGTGTTTAATTATAATGTCCCATATTTTGGTGAGAGAGGAAAACCCAAGGAGATTGTTAGATTTTCTTTCTCCAGCAAACTGGTGCTCTGAATTCATATAATAATGAGAGAGTGTCTCAAACTGTAAAGTTATTCAAAGTGGCATCCATAAGATTTAATTGAATGGGTGGCTTATATTCTGAGTAGTAGTATTGATAATAATCATAATAAAAAGAACAATGACTTCTATTTTTAGATGCCACCAATGTGCCAGTCAATGCATTAGGCATTTTCACATCTCTCATTTTAACCTCAGAACACTCCTGCAGGGAAAAATATTATTACTCCAATTTGATGTATTTGGAAATCGAAGTGCAGAAAAATTAAGTTACTTGCCCCCAAACACTTTTCTGGTAAACTGTAGGTCTGGGTTTTTGAATCCTGGACTGCTTTCTTTAATGGATAAGTAGAGGGATCCTTGGTTTCCAGCCATGAGTGGAATATAGCAATGAGGGGCCTAGGAAAGTACTCACATCTCTATTGCTATGCAAAAGATAACCAGCAGGATTTATTCAGCCAAGAATAATAGAACTCCTGTGCTACTTAATGAAGACCACTCGTTGGATTTCCTTAATGTCTGCTTAATAAGTCTTCGAACTTGGATTTTAATGTATTAGACAGTTAACTTGCCTTATAATGTCAATTTAGCATTACATACCAGGTGCAAGGAAAATGTAGCACTAGGAACTCTGATAGCAACTACAGAAACCTTTTGGTTGGAGAGCTAAATCTTTCAAACTTTGCTGTGGATATTTGAGAGCACTTTACTGATGTGGGTGTTTGGGCAAGGGAAGGGGAAGCCTGTGTCTGGGGCTCTCATTCTTGACCGGAAGCCAACGTGAAGAAGGCTTGGTTGGGGGCTGCAGGGTACCTGTTGGTGTGCGAGTTGTTGTGCATGAACCAGCTCCGGTTATTGTCCACATACATTGCCCAAGCTTTGTCGTCCTTTCCTAACATCACATCCTTCATCACGTCGATGCGCGCCACACCGAAGGCAGGATCAGGGTGGTTGTCATAGCGATCCACAGTTAGCTCCCAGTAGTGGACGCCCTTGGAGAAGCCTGTCTTTCCCAGCACAACCCGGTCATCGTAGCTACTGCAGGTCACAGTCAGGTTGTCATTGGAGAAGATGATGTCAGAGTGTGCTGAACCAGGGTCGAAAGCAAACCAAGCCGCTGAGAACAACAGAAGGGAATTGGGTTAGTAAGTCTGACACAACGAACTCAATACTGTAACAGATTCCTGGGTGGGTGAGGAATTTTGTGTCCCATTTTCATGCTGCCATGCAGGAAGGAGGCGTCCAGGACCAGAAGGGGCCGTAAGTGAGCAGACAGGGGACACATCCTGGGAGGTGGTACTCTCTGCATCCAGAAGCAGATGGAGGACACACGACCGATTCAGCAGGGGTTACCTGACTCAGACTGCACTCCCAACCAGGTGATCCGGGAGTGAAGTGGCATCGATTTTGGAAGGTGCAAGTCCCTTCACCGGTGCCTGGCAGAACAGTGCACCAGAGACATAAAGGGAGAGGGAACCCGCTAAGATGCATGAGTAACCCCTTGAGGCAGGGAGGCTAGGATCTAGAGTCCTAGATGGAGGAGGGATAAAACACACGGAGTGAAATCAGGAAATAGCCCTTCAGCAGAATGGCTAAAACCTAGTTGACTGGAAAATCTCCTCAGTTCTAGTGAAAGCTCAAAGGCTGCAAAGCTATCAGCAACACAAACTAATTTTCACCAGTGATTGTGACTTGGAGATAGGACAGAATGGTTCCTTCATTAATTAACAACACATTTTGCATGTTATTCCTAAAACTAACAGGTAAAATATTTTGCTGGAGCAGTAGGTATTTTGGAAATTAGGTGCAGGTAGAATGATGTCTTTGTACACACTGTTATGGCCCAAATTCTAAATGTTTTTTTACAAATACACTCTGGAGAGATGTAATTGCTGAGTTATTGAACCTGTGAGCCACTTCACATGCACTTCGGCCTTTGCTATTTGTAACAGAATAAGGTTGCTCCATACCTGCCAACAGCTTTTTAATGTCAACTGTTGTCATTCCAAGTGAAAGGCATGGAAGAGAGAAATAGGAAGTAAAATTGACATTGGTAAGAAAACATGTCTATTTTGATAATCTAATACCTCAAAGGGCTCAATTTAAAATGCTACACACACTACAACAGTTGGTCTGACTTGTATCTTTCCTCACATTTAATGCTTATAAAGGGTACTTTGCGTTGATGTATAAGAAAACTGGGGGAGAAATTACTTCTTTGAGGTATAACATTAAAGAAATATAGGTACCATTTCCATTTTAAAAAAAGTATTTGAGAAATTGTTATGATGGGGTCAGAATGACAATTAGATAATTTTATTGACATAAACAAGGTTGCCACCATTTATTTTGTGAAGGAAATTGAGCATACCAACCACATAAGTAGAACATAACAATTATGATAAGTATACTTGCCTAATTGAGAGTAAGGTGCGGACTGTGGCTCAAAATTGCATCCTACAAAGAGATACTACACATCAAAGCTAGGAAACAACAACCAGGTTGATAAAAATGACTTGTATACACTGAAAAAAGCACCAACTGAATAGAGTCACCAGAGACCTGATTCATTTAAAACCAAAGCCCTTTTTGTGTTAGTTTACATGTCTGGGTCAAAATTGCTTCTCTTCTCTTTGAAAATGAAAAGGAGACCTAGTTACCATTGAATAAGTCTTCCTCCAATTGATTCTAAACTCTGAAGCTTAAATATTCATCATTTACCAACTTTAACTTTTTCCACTGAAGATTCCATATTAAGAAGGCTTATTGTTTTAAAAAGGAGAACAGTCATCCAATTGAAATGCAGAAATCACTGGGTGATAAAACTCCACACTGCATCACTATTGTATGCATTGCTAACTCTAGTTATGCCAGAAGGCCTTGTTGTGTCTATGTGTGTGTGTGTATACACACACACACATACATATATAACTGAACAAGTAATATACTCTCTATATTAATAAATACATCAGATGATCTTTAATAATGACTTGAGTTGAATGTAGTAAAAAAATATTATCTTGTCTCCTTAGTTTAATCCTCACTTCAGAGCATGAACCACTTTAGGGAGGGAGGGGAGATGGTGAAAGTAAGAGTTGGCTTGGAGATATATTAGAATCACCTGTGCAGATTTTTCAATTCTTCCTTTTTCTCCAAGATTTGGATACCCCCATCCCAGGAGAACCTGCATCAGGGTGGGGCAAGGCATGTCTACTGTTAAAATACAGGTGTGTGATTGACAGTTTTGAGTGGTATTGGGAACTGATGTGAAAATGAGCACTAGGAGGTAGAGAAAGGATCATGTGATTTTTTTTTTTTTTCACCCTAGGCCCTTCTATGCTAATTTCCCAAACAGTTGAAGGATAATACCCCAAACCCACTGCCATCCAGTTGATTTTGACTCCTAGTGACCCATAGGACAAAGTAGAACTGCCTCACTGGGTTTCCAAGACTATAAGTCTTTATGGAAGCAGACTGCCACATCTGCTCTGCAGAGCAGCTGGTGGGTTCAAAGTGCCAACCTTTTTGGTTAGCAGCCAGGCACTTCAATCACTGCGCCACCAGGGCTCTTGAAGGATAATACGCTGATGTAATATAATCTTCAAGGAATTAAGAAGGCAACTTAATATAAAGACAGGATGAATGACTCAGTTAAAAACAGAATTTAAAGACTGTGTCCTTACTTTTGGTTAGTTTATTTTACTCTGGGATGAATTCACATACAGACGAATCATCTTCTCCCAACTCATGGCTGATTTTTGTGTTTAGTTTATAGCAATTGTCATGTTAATTCCTATTCATGGGTTTAGAGCACAGTGACAACAAAACACAGAGTTTTAAAATTGAATTTCATATCCAACTTTGTAGAATCTCAGTAGGGCTTTTAAGATTTTTATATGAATCATGCCTTGTGTGATCTTTTTCAAACAAGTACTCCCAAAAAATTTTACACTGCTTTAAACACACCATCATACATTTAAGATTCAACGATACATCTAGAACAATGCTGTTAAATACACCCATTAAATATCCCAAGCCCACATTTCATTTTATTCTTGAGACAATGTACATTACAAAGACCATAACAGTATTTCAGTACATAGACACAAGTGAAAAAGGTTCTATAACAAGGCATGTTTGAAAGCCAAGAGTGCACAGAAAAACAATAAAGAACGTAAAAGCACAAAGAAAAATGTTGTTTTAAAGAGAGCTTGAAGTCCCTGCATCCTTTTTGCACCGTCATGCTGTGGCCTTCTTCATTCCAGGATGTGGGATGAGCAAAAAAGAATAAAAAAAGAAAAGAAAAGAAACCTTTGGAAACGTGAAATGTGTATCATGTGTATCCTTGATTACAATATAGTCCTGAAGAGATCAAATACGCCTGCATCTTAGATATTTTAAGATTCTATTTGCTAGACAGAGTTCATTCAAAGTAATGCATGTCTAGCTTTCCTGAAATCATCCCTGTCACCACCTGTGTCTCTGGGAAACTTTGGGAAGGTCAGACTCTTCCATTACTTGGATCTTTGGGAGTTGGGCATGTTAAGGGTTTCTAATTCAGTTAGTGGCGGCCCCTCCCCTTTGCTAGGCAAGAGAATCAGCCTTGAGCACCACTGAGTGTCCTACCAGTGAGCACAGGCTTTGCAGAAAATGCTTTCACTTTTTGCCGTCTAGTTTGCCTGCTTTGTGGGATGCATTCTGCTGTTGGCGTGTTTTTACTTTTATTTTTTCAATATAGATAGATCTCTTGAGTCTATGTTTAATCAGACCACTCCAGCTGGATGCGCTGATCCAGTCTCCCAGGCACGCTGGTTTCTTGGATACAGCAGGGTTGCAAACCTCCAAACCAGTGCCCCAGCCTCCACTCAGCCCACGCCTGTGTCGTGCTGTGTATGCCACTGCATGTGATGACAGAGCGGGTTATCCATGGTGGTACCAGCTTGTGCAAAAAGAACAACTTCACTCGTCACTTTCCAATGCCATTGTACATCTCAATGTACAGCTCAATGGTTGGCCATCACACCACATAAACAAGAACGCACAAAGCCTGGTCATCCAGTGCCCCTCATACTGGAAGCAGGCCACAGACACAGAGACTAGCTCATCCCCCTCACCACGCACATGATGGCAAGAACAAAACACAGATTTCAGAGATGCCTTCCAGGCACAGAGATCAAGAGCAAAGGTCAGACGAGCTCAGCTCACCGGGTGCATTGAGAGACTGTAAAGAGGAATGCAAGCTCAGCTGGTGGGGTGAGGATCGGAAATCAAAGTAGGATCTCCCCGGGAAGCTGGGTTGTAGATTAAGGGTGGAGGAGAAAGGACTCATTCTACGCAGCGGCAATCTTTCCGAAGGCACTGGAAAAGGGAGGGTCTGTTCTTCTGAATCTGTGTCTAAATGTAAGATCAATGCAAACTAGAGATCAGAAATCTGCTACCTGCCCATGAACTGTTCCCCAAGACCTGCCTGACCAATGCATCCATACCAAGCCTTATCCACCCCAAAGGGGGCCACTCCAACATGGCTGGGGCTCCAGGGGCCTTCTCAGCAGGCCTGGACCCAAGACCAGAGGATACCACAAACATCATAGGCATTTGTTTTCATTTCTCCTAATTTTTAAGTGGTAGAAAAGTATTTTGAAAGATTTTCTTTTAATTAAATATTGAGTTGAATTTAGAAACTTTAGAGGTAAATTTTACCCATCAGTGACCAAGATTAATGTTTACCCCCTTCAGTCAGCCCAGAAATAACTACCTGTATGATAATGGCGTCTTAAAAGGTTTCTATTTAGGCATGATGATTCTTACAAACTGTTTGATGTCTCATATTTCCCATTTCTCCCCCACTCCATCTATTTTCCCATTTCTAAATGGCTAAGATGATTTTTGGGAGCTCTGATGGCATAGTGCCTAAGGCATTTGACTGCTAACCAGAAGCCTGGCGGTTCAAACCCACCTACCACTCCTCGGAAGGAAGGTTGGGCAATCTACTTCCATAGAGACATCATCTTGGAAACCCAAGGAGGTGTCGCTATGAGTCGGATCTGACTTGACAGCAGTGAGTTTGTTTTTTTTTGGTAAGATGATTTTCTATACTAGCACATTCAACATTTGATC